AAAAAAAAAAAAATACCATTTGACCCGACAATTCCATTACTGGGAATATACCCTAAAAAAACCAGAACTGCCACTAAAGTAGATATATGCACACCCATGTTTACTGCTGCTCTGTCCACAACAGCAAAGAGTTGGAAGCAACCCAAGTGCCCATGGATAGAGAAGCTGTAGTATATTCACACACTGAAAAAGAAGAACTCATGAAATATTAAACATAATGGGTGACACTGGATGAAGACATTATGCTGAGTGAAACAGCTCAGTCACAAAAGGACAGATACTGCATAAATCCACTGTTATAAAACAGGACATCAGGGTTGGTGGGAAACTAAGAAAAGAGGGGATAAATAATGTACACTGCATTGAAACAGATGAGGGAGAAAACGGTTTAAAAGGAATATATAATTAGGCATTATCTGCATGACAAATCCAGAACAAGAACTGCATACATAGTAAAGTGGATGGGGTGGGGGATTGGAAAACAATGAAAGAATTTTTTTTCTTTTCAAAGAGAAAAGCGAACTGGGGTGGGGAGGTATGAAAATGTGCAACAATGAATGGAAATCCCAGTTCTTTATAAACTTTCATTAAAATATAAATTAAAAAAGGTTGTTGATTGCAGATAAGTGTAAGATGAAACTGTTAATAACCTCAATCTCTTCTCCATTTATCATGATGCTGCCAGTTGGCCCAGTGGTGAGAATCTTTGTTTTCTTGATGCTGAGATGCAATCCATATTGAAGACTGCAGTTTTTGACCTTCTGCAGCTAGTACTTGAAGTTCTCCTCAGTTTTAGAGAGCAAGGCTGTGTCATCTGCCTACTGCAGGCTTTTGATGAGTCTTCTTCTAATCCTGATGCCACATAAAATCCAGCCTCTCTACTGATCTGTTCCATATAAAGATTGAAAAGATGTAAAGAAAAGATTAAGTATATAATTTAGTGACATTAATTACATTTGCCTTATTGTGTAACTATCTCTGACATACTCCTTTTTTGATTTTGAACTAGGCAGTGTTTTCTTGGTATTTGTACAATTTGTTCAGTGGTCTAAGTACAGATCTTGCATGAGCATAATCAGGTCTTGCATGAGCATAATCAAGTTGTTCTGGGATCACCATGTTAGCCATAATGTTTGTGATCCCCAGAGTTAAATTCCTTTGCATAGTCAAGGAAACACAGACTTTTTTCTGGCACTCTGTTTTCAGCCAAGGTCTTTCTGACATCGGCAATAGTCTTCCTAGTATCACAGCCTCTTCTAAACACAGCTTGTATTTCTGGCAGTTCTCTGTTGATGTCCCAGTCATTTTTGGATAATCTTCAGCAAGACTCTGTATGTGTTTGTATGTGATATTAGTGATACTGTTTGAGAATTTCTATGCTCTTCTTGATCTTTTTTGGGTATAAGAATAAAAATGGATCTCTTCCAGTCAGTTGGCCAGGTAACCCGTCATCCAGATTTCTTGGTACAACCAGGTGAGCATGCCCAGTGAAGCATCTGTTTGTAGAGATATGTCAACTAGTATTCTATCAATTCCTGGGACTTTATATTTGGTCAATTCCTTCAGAGTAGCTTGAACGTCCTCCTCCATCACCATTGCTTCTTGATTATATATGCTGTTTCATGAAATTCTTCTGTGTCAGCCAATTCTTTTTGGTACAGAGACTTGATGTACTCTTTTAATATGACCACGTATTCTAAAATTCCACCCCTGAGAATATTATATAAAAAGAGTAAAATAATTATATAATTTTTTTTGCCAGGACAAAAAGATTTTTACTTTTTAACTGTGGCAAAATATATATAACCACATGTTTGCCATTTAAATAATTTTTAGGTGTTTAATTCAGTGACATTAATTACATTTCCCTGATTGTGTAACTACTTCATTACTTGTTAATAATACAATTTGATGAAAGTGTATTACTTCTTTGAGGAAACAGAAAATGTTACTCGTGTTTTAATTGGTAAAAAAATTGCTTTTTCTCATAAACAGAAAAACTGTTAAACAAACATCATACATACAACCATAAAATTTCAAAACAATGTATCAGGAAAAGGATTGTACTTCAGAACAGCGTTGGTATACAGCACTACTTACTCTTGTAGTCCTTCCACATGTTTCTGTTTAGTACCATTAAGCATTAGTAAGGCTCTCTGGGATTCAAGGCAAGGTCGCTGCCCTGTTTTCTTTGGTATCTGCATCTTTCCAACCCCACGCAAAGCAGTTTTCCCCAGTGCTGGCAGATAGGAATTTACCTATAAAGACATAATAATTATTGCTTTCTTACCTACAAATACCTGGAAACTAGCCAAAAAAGTTCATTTGATTCATTTCACAATTAAACTTGGTTATTACCCAATTCCATTTAAACATCTAAGCCTATCAGGAATGTTACTATTATTATTGTGTGCTGTCAAGTTAGATGGACTTATAGCTGACCTTCTAGTTGGTTTTCAAAAGCAGTCAACTGCAAGGGAGGAGACTGCTCACTCCTTTCCCAAGGACGGTTGGTAGATTTGAACTGTGTGCCTTTGGGATTGCAATGTAGCTTCTTACTAGTAGGTAATCAGAATTCTCTACAATGCTACTAGCTACACATCATAAAATCAAGATCACATGATCAAGAAGAAAAACACTTTTTTTTTTTAAAAACACTTTCCTGAATATATTTCTCATTCAATTTTGATGTTCATTTAGGAAAGTTTTTATTAGCTTTATGGCCAACTTGTTATGACTCTTTAACATATTTTTCTATAGAAAAACATCTGATGTATATATACAATTGATGTTTTGTCACTTCCAGTTGATAATGCCTTTCTCTAACAAAAAGCAAGTCTGGAATATGAAATAAAACAAAAAAGAGCAAAACCAACTAAAGATATAAGATATTAATATCTATAGACAGCCAGATAAAAACTGGAAAATTCTGATGAAATGCAGCTTCTATATGCAAATTTGTAAAGGATAAAAGTTTATTACTGAAAATTTGGTTAGAAAATACCATTAAAGACTATGTAAATTATCTTTGTTTGGATCTATATAAACATAGCCTTATGAATTATGACAACTGATTAACAAGCAGAATACTGTATTATTTTTCCAATATCAATCTTTAATTATTTTCAAGTAATTAGTTCATTCACCGATCACTCTATTTCTGAAATAAAAAGATATCAGGTCTTAACCAAATCTATAACACCTATAAGTTAATTTGTTCTGTCTTAATATTGAGGTATATTTAAATATTGAGCTGCTAAAAGAAAGGCAGCAGTTCAAACCCACCTCATTCTCATGAGAATGAGGGAGCAGTCTCCTCCTTGTTAAGATTTCTAGCCTCAGAAATCTGAAGGCAGAATGCTATGAGCTGGAACCAACTCAATGGAGTAATAATTTAAAATTAAATTTATGAATTCACTTCTTGGGAATGAACTAGAATAGAGAGATATTTACCATTTTCTGAAGTGAGAGCGGCTCAGAAGAAATACTGATGGAACTTTGTAAACACAGTTTTTTAAAGACTGCTTCTGCAACAAACATTTGAAGCCAGGAGGAGGAAAAGGAACAAATAAAAATTTCTAATTCCTGTGAAGAAAAGTCTGTAGAAAAGAAAAGAAATAAATTTCTTTCTAGAGACTGGATTATGTTTATCCAAATGATAATTCTCACACAGTAAGATATCAACATAAAATAAACAGATCAAAAAAAAATACATATTTCACTCCCTGTCTCTCAAGAAAAATGCTTGAAAATAACCATTGTTTTATATTATTTTAAATAAAAACTATGAAATGACAATGTATGCATATAGACTGATATAAATAAATAAATGTTAACAGACAGGACATTTTCTTAATTGTTACATCTTTCCTTTAGAGGGCACAGTAGAGAGAGAGCTATGCTGCTGGCTGAAAAGGCATGTCTCTCCCAGGAGTTCAAATCTGTTGGCCACTCTTCAGGAGGAAGGTGGGTATAAAAGGAGCTACAACAACATAGGGAAGGTTGAGACTGACTTCTATTTGCTCCACACAAGTAAACTGCCACCATTACCAATATCCACAGTATAAAATATATACTGTTTGGACCTTACCATTTCCCTGGACTTACGGCTCCCTAACAACTACTCTCAGGAGAGGCAGAAGGTATGTGTGTTGGCATTAGCACCAACAGAACCTTAGGAAAAGCATAGTTGGGACCTTAATACCTTCCTGAGTCTTTGTATGCTCAGGCATGAACAGTTCCCTACCAACCAGCCCCAGGAGAGGAGACAGGTATGTGGACCAGCTACTAGCACCAATTGAGTCTTGGTGGCTGCATTGTTGGTACCTTGCCACTTCCCCAGGTCTCTGTCTACTCAGGCGGGAACAGATCCTTCACAACCAGTTTCAGAAGAGGAGACCAGTACTTGAGTTGGCCATCAGCAGCACTAGAGACTTCAGGACATCACTGTTGCGATAGTGCCACTTCCCTGGGCCTGTGTCTGCTCAGGAGGGAAAGACTCTTTCCTCACCAGCCACAGGAAAGGAAACAGCTGGGTTAGTTGACCATTACCACCAATTGAGACTTAGGGTTCACACTGTTGGAACACTGACACTTCCCTGAGCAAAATATACCAGGCAACACTTCTGGGACTTTGCCTACCATGGGAGGAAACTGTCCATTCTCATCAAACTGCAGGACAAGACTGATGGATGAGAAGCCTGTCACAGGACACAGGGAACAGATATGCCCACAGAAAAACAACAGGAAAGATTGCCACTGAGAAATTGAATCAGGACAACACTCAAAGTCTGCAAATTATCAATAGCATCACAAAGATAAAGAACTGACAACCACAGACACAACAGAAACTATCTCACACATACCAAATAGAACTTCACATAATGTCAAGGAAGCAGGAGACAGCTTAAACATTATGAAAAAAAACAAAAACAAAAACAAAATCAACAAGAAACCCACCAACTCAAAACTTCTAAGAAAGCAGACCATTCAGCAGAGACAATGAATAATCTAGAGATAGGGGGACAGAAAAAAAATATATCAACTTGGAATTACATGACTACCTACTGAAAAAGTTACAGGTAGAAGAACTGAAAAGATAATAAAGAGGTACAAGAATTTTAAAAATCATCAGAAGACTGACAAGGTACAACCAAAACAGGACATAAACAATAGAAATTCATGAAAATGCAATCCAGAACTTATCGATTCATGTTGATCCTACCTGTACGGAACAGACTGTTCTATAAGGTTTTGAAGACACTCATATTTCTGACAAAGACTGACGAACCTTTCTTTCAAGGTATTTCAATTGTTGCTGTGTATCATCAACTTGGAAATGACCCACAGGAAGAACTACTAATCCTTTTTGGTCAGTAGCTGAATGTCTTAACCATCTGTGCTCCCCAGGGACTCCTTGTAAAATATATATATATATCAGAAGAAACCTTTTAAGAGTCTCTGGGAGGTATGAGTGGTTACAACTTTCTGAAAGATTAGCAGTTCTAACCTATTCACAGATACTTTCAAAGACAAGCCTGGAGATCAAAGATCAAAACCTTGAAAATTTTATGGAACAGTTCTGCTCTGCACTTAGAGGTTACTATAAGTCTTAGTTGACTTGATGACAACTAAGAAGGCTGCTTATAATAAAAAAGAACACTTTTAATACATGGCATATGGTTAAACCATTTCCTTAAACAAAATCAGTACTAAAACAAACATATATAATTACATTGACAGTCCCTCTTGTTAGTCCTATTATCAATCTCAAATTCAAAGAGGTTTCATTACTGAATGAGAGCAAGGACTCGTACTAGCCAACTACTTAGTTCTCATTTTATTAAATATGTCAGAATTCTGCTATTTTTCAAAGGAACTAAACTACTGAGTAGGATTGGTTAAAAATAAATGATAAGAAAGGTTCTAAAGACAAATCATTTTGAGTTATAAACTGTTAAAGTCATCTAACTAGGAAGTGTCCCGTGTGGCCCAAGTGTACTCTTCTGGCCATTTTGAAAATGATCTTCAGCAGGATTTTATTTGCAGAGGAAGACAAAGGATGCCTGACCTGAGCATCATGCAGAGCTCGCTGCCTCATGGCATGCCTTCACTCAACCTTGGTTTGAGTCCTTGTTCTACTGCCTTTATCACGTTTTCAATCTTGAGCAGGTCTATTCACCACTCTGAAGTCCCCTTCTTCATTTGTGTAAGGGGAAAGTAGTAACACCTACTTCGAGTTACAATTAGACCACTTGGTGGAGAGGAAGGTGGTAATGAAGATAGTGCTAGAGCCAGAAGTGCTAGCTGTCTGGTAGGGTGCAAGGTCTGGACCTAAAAAGAGCTTTGGGGGATGGCAGAGGGGTAAAGCTGCCTGGCCCTTGCAAAGAGCTGTCTGGCCCCTGGGGAGAGCTGCTTAGTGTGTATGAGGAAGTTTACCTAAGAAACTTTCCTCCATCGTTTCCTCCTGAATAAGCTGTAAGGAACACCTACTTCCAAAACCCTTTTCTCTGTAACTCACAAGTTTGTTCTTTCTAGGTTTGCTCCCTTTCCTACAGGAAAACAGTGAATCTTGTTCTAGAACCTGAAACCTACACCTGGTTCAAGAGACAAAAGGAAACTATAACTGCCAGCTAAAGAAGTGAAGGTGGATGGAGCCTCAAAGTTTAGCCAGACACTCCTGCTGGGCTCACTCATGCAAACACTTTGCAGTCCAAGAGCAGAAAAGGTCATGATAATACCTTCTAACTAAACAAGAAGGCGTGAAGCTTCAAATCAAGTCCACGATTAAAGTGTTAATGTGGGCCCCCCTTGAATTTCATCCCAAATGTCTCTGTTTAGCACGAAGTAGCCAGAGTTTGTGCCCTTATTCCCAAATGGGAAACCCACAAATAAAAAAGACAATTTCTTTGTTTAAAAAAAAAAAAAGAGAAGAAAATGAATCACCATTGGAGTATACCACCATTACCCTGTCTTTTCTGGTCCCCACTGGATCTTTCTCATTTCCTTTACCCACTCTCTCCATCCACCAAATTGTGCAACCATGTGATTTCATCCCTACCCATCCTCACTCTTCTGTTCCCATCCTTTACTCACTCTGGATCCCATACACATACTTTACAATTAAAAAATAAAAAAGTAAAAGGAAAAAAAAGTCATCCAATCAAGGACAGCTAGTCAACAATAACAAAAAAATAGTAATCACCCCTCTTCATGCAATAACAAATATAATAATTAATAATAAAAGAGAAAAGGAAGAGAGCTCTGGTGGCCTAGTGGCAAGAAGCTGCACTGCAATCCCAGAGGTACATGGTTTAAATCCACCAGACGCTCTGCTGGAGAAGGAGGGGCAATGCCCTTCTGTACCAGTCTGATTTGACGGTACACACAAAAAAAATTAAAAAAAAAAAAGAGAGAAAAGGAGGAAAAAATTTATTTGATAAATTAACCCTGAAGTTACATATAACTTGTACTGTTATTCTAGACTCTTACATCACAGTATTAAATTGATTAAAGGAACACGCAAAAAGAGTTCTCTTTTATATAATTCCAAGATACACTGAAACACGTGTAACAAAACAGAATACCTGGCAGTCTAAAGTGCTGTTAAGTACATAAAAATAATTTTATATTTGGAGGCCATAATAAGTTACTTGGTTTGGCAGGTGTTTATGTTAAGCACTTATACCTTTAGAAAGAAAGAGAAAAAGAACAAAGGAAGACAAGCCGATCTTCCCGAAAATTGGCTAGCTTATCTATCTGTCCATCTACAAAAATGTTAGGATGTATGCAAGATCTTATGGAGGTCAGTAGACCCAAAATACTAGGATTCAACATGAGGTAAATGATGTGAAAATGAGCTCTGTCATCTTACTGCTTAAGTAATATTCCACCCATATATATTTTTTTTTTCAAGGTGAGGAAATAAAGGGAAAAGAGTGATAAAGTCATGCAAATAAGTTATTTTTATTTGGTTCACTCATACTTAGTTATTATCAGATCAGTCTGACTAGATGGAAAAAATAAATGCAACTTTAAATGCTATAATAAGAAAGATAAATTATACAATATTAGGTTCATGGGGAAATAGGCTTTAACCAGTTATATAACCCAAGTAAATGCATGTGGCTTTATTATATAATAAGTCATTGAATTCAGTGAATTTCTTATTATCATGCTGCTAAAATATTCATGCAGGAAGAGATCTGAAAGCTGTTCACATAGCACAGATAAGAACAGAGACTGATAATGCTTTCTACAGAACCTGAATGATTAGAAATACTGAAAATAGTGATATCATGTAAGATTCTAGAACACCATACATTAAAAAGCCATTTTTTCTTGCCAATGTAAAAGGAATAAATTGAATTTTTTTCTAGTTAAAATTTTTATTTGCATAAGATGGTTTAATTTTAATTTTAGCTACAGGATAAAATAATTAATACGCTTTAACATTATTATGTAATAATTTATGAAATAATTTATTTCCAGAAAGCATTTTCTATACTGTCATAAAATATTCCATTTTTATGAATTCATCAAAATAATATTTAAAAATAATAATGATGAATAAGAAAGCTCTGTATAAAGGAAGATAGAAATACAACATTGCATATATGGTACCAGCATATAAAAATGCTCAGAACAACCAGAATGAAAAACATTTAAAAAATTAATGGTGCAAAGATATCTGATCCAAGTAATGGTATTATCAGTTGCTTCATACTCTTGTGAAAGTTAAGACAATGAATATGGAAGATAGAAGAATTTATGCCTTTGAATTATGGTGCTGGCAAAAAATATTGAATATACTATGAATTGCCAAAAGAAGGGGGCTGTGCTGCTAACCCAAAGGTAGGCCTTCTTTAGACAGTTCTAATCCACTAGAGGCTTTGTGAGAGAAAGATGGGAAAATTCTTCCTGTGTGATTTATCTAACTGGAGGATCGGCTATAGCTCAGTTCTGACCAGAAAACAATGAGTTGTTTATTTTTACTAAAAAAACAAACAAATCTGCCTAGGAAGTGCAGTCAGAGTGCTCTTTAGAGGCAATGATAGTGAGATTGTCGCATATGGGACATCATACTTGGAAAGGTGAGGGTCACAAAGGAGAAGAAGACACTTAAGGAGATAGAGCGACAGTGACAACAATAATGGGCTCAAGCATAAGGGAGACTGTGAGGCAAGTGCAAAACCAGAGTTTTGATCTGCTGTACACAGAATCATGAGTCAGAGTAAACTTGACAGGATCTAACAGCAATTATGGGCAATTTTCAGCTCCTTCTTTACATTGTTTAAAGGTACTTTTTTTAAAAAAAAGATTCAGTCATATGAATATGATTTAAAGATGACAGACTTAAAGATTACAGAAAATCAAAACTAATTTCTCAAATGAGTCTAAGAAAAACACGTCTATACAAATGTACTTACCATCACATGAAAGGGAGACATAGCTTCCGAAGTCATCAGACATGTGTCGCATAACGTTTCTACCCATCTTAAGACCTAGAAAAATCCAATAATCTATTGCTGCTCCAAGAATTCCTGTCAATATGTAAGCTATCTCATGTATGAAGACCTGTTGAGATAGAAAACGACAATACTTTAGTATTAGATATGGTTGAGGACTCCAGCAGATCTCTCAATACAAGATATCCTTTGATTTCTTGGCTTCTGCTTACATGAACATTGGTTATGGATCTAATGAAATCCTTTGCCATTTCAATCTTTTCTCTGCTAATCATGTTAGTCCAGCTGCTTGAGGTATTTGGTAAGTATCAGTATGGTGAAATTTAATACAGGACAACAAACCAATAAATCAATGATTATATAAAAACTACAGTAAGGCACAAAACCCTTACTTAAAATGTGTTTTATCCTTGTGCTTCAAAACATTTCCCTAGTCTAGAAAATTAATTATAAACTATAAAGATGAAGAGGTGTGAAAATAATATTTTAAAACATCTTTGATTTAAATGTAAACATTTTTCCACAAAGCCATAAAACTAGCTGAAATTCTTGTATTTTTGGTACTTGTTGTCAAGGCATGGCGGATGTGTGGGGAAAAAAAATAGCCTACCAAAACCCACAAAATAAACTGCTGAGTAGGAAGGTATGTGAATGGGACTTAATAAATTTTCTGATATCTGAAGAGAATGCAAAATTCTATGTTCTGCCATTATACTATGCCAAATATGGAATTGGTGACAAAGAAATCCCTGGCACTTTGAATAGTAACTACCTAATGGATTTGTTTCACCCAGTCTTATTAGACAATTTTTATAGGCCTGTAAACACTATTTCATTAGTTTTTGTTAGGTGCTGTTGAGTCAATTATGACTCACAGAGAACTTATGAATAAAAGATCTTCTATTCTGCAGATGACACAACTTTGCTTGTTGAAACTGAGGAGGGTTTGCATTTGCTGCAGAAGGTCATAACAACAAAACAACAACATATCAGATCTACAGAAGAAGTATTTCTCAAATGAAAATCCAACCTCAGGTTAAGTAGCAAGTACATAATTCCATCACTCTCTAGGGCAGTAAATTGCAAAATGGGAGGACGAGGCTATAGATTGTGGAAGATAGACCCCAAAATGCTAGAATGTGGGGGGATCACAGCTGTAAGTTTAAGGAAGCACAGTTCACCTTTTAATATGACAAGCGGCCATGATAAAGAACCTTAACTACAGTTTGATCATCCTAGATCAGGAGTCATGGTTGGGCATCAGTACCACTTCCTCTCCTAGTTTGATTCGTTTATGTCTTACAGCTGAGGATATATGGCATGAGTTGGTGGTGGCATTATTGGAACTATCACCACCTGAAATAACCTGGGGTCAAGAATCAAGTCTTGCACCTGATCAAAACTGACTGCCTTAAGCACCAAAAAACTTTGCAGGAAGTTGAGAGGCCAACCTGTAATAAACAATCCATATAAGTTAAATAAAAGTCTGTAGAGTGTCATAGTTAAGGTTTAGGTTATTAAGAAAATGGATTTGGCCACAGTCACTGAGCTGCTTCCAAGGACTCAGCTGTCTCTCCCTCGAGCCCCAGCACTTCCCAAGGCTCTGTCCCTGCTGCCCACCTTCTGCCGGCCGTTTCCACTGAGAAAAAGGAATCATGTCTTATGTCCACTATCTAGAACCTCCCCCACTCTTTCAACCCCTCTGCTGATGAAAGTAAGGGTGATGCCTGCTTCCTGCTGGGACTGAGGATTATATCCATATAAGAATTCAACAGAGAAACGGCAGGAAGACCCTTACAACTGTCCAAGGGATTGCTGATTGCTGATAAGTACAATAAAAAGAAACTAGTGAAGGCATTTAAGAAGAAATTTTCCTACAATGGTACTGTAACTGAGCATCCAGAATATGGAGAGGTAATTCAGCTACAGGGTGGCCAGCACAACAACATATGCCAGTTCCTTGTAGAGTTTGGACAGTCTAAGGACGACTAGCTGAAGGTTCATGGGTTTTAAGTGCTTGTGGCTCACTGAAGCTTAAGTGAGGCTTTCCTTGCAATGAGTAGAAAATTTCCCTTCTGCCCTTTGTCACAAGTTTAAAACTTCACAGCTTGTATAATGTAACCATTTGGGGTCCACTTTTAACTTGGCTAGTGTAACTCATGCAATAAACTGAAAAGAGCTATATGCTGTCTAGTCTGGAAGTCCCTCATTTAAACAGAGGTTAAGCAGTAGGCGCCTGACAGTGCCTTCATGAAACAAAGCAATAACGTGATGTTTCAGCCGAATTCAGAGCCCCAAGATCATAGATGGCTATGTCTGACCCAAAACACCCCTACCCCAAAAGAATGTCAACCCACCACCTGAGCACCCCCAGATGGAGCTGAGAAGAGGATGGGGTGAGACTACTGTACCACTAGAAGGAGTTGTGGTAGCAAAAGATCATTGGTGTCTTCAGCCGGGCAAAGCAGGCAGAGCTTAGGAGTGAGATGGGCCATCTAGCTTGCCACCTAGGTCTTTGTTCTTTCTGACCAGAAATGTCCTGAAGTGTTGTCAGTCCCAGAAAACACCTGGATGTGAGGCCAAGTTTAAACTTTGGACACGGGAACAAGCTAACATACCAGTCATAGTTAGCCGTAGAGCTTGCAACTTAATAGCCAACAGCTGCCCAATGCCCTGTGAAGGAAGAACTGGTTCTCCGTGCCCCCGCCTTCAGTTTTAATGTTATGTAATGTATTTAAACATGTTTTCAGAAGAAAAGAAAAAAAAGAAAATGGATTTGTTGTTGTTATGTGCTGTCGAGTCTCTAACGACTCATAGTGACCATATATACAATAGCTCTGAACTCTGCTCTATCCTAATTATATTGTCTGACACACCTTATGCCTCATTAACCCCAATTCACTGAGTCACTGAATCTTATCCAGGGTCTTCCTCTCCTGTGCGGTCCCTCCACCCTCACAAGCGTGGTGTCCCTCTACAAGGACTCCTTGCAACATGTCCAAAGTATGTCAGACAGAGCTTCAGAATCCTTGCCTCCACGGAGCAGCCAGGTTTCACCCTCTCAAGGTTGAAACTGTTCTCCTCACAGTCGATGGTATATTCAGTACTCTTCTCCAGGCCCACAGCTCAAAGGCATCAATTCTCCTATTATCCCTAGTCACTGTCCATCTTCCTGGTGCATAGCAAGTAACTGCAAAAACCAGTCTCAGTCTCTTTAATCTCCAGACTGACAGGGTTGCTCTTCAGTACTTTGAAGAGGTCCCTGACAGCAGATTTCCCCAGTGCAATTTACCTTTTGATTTCCTGGCTGCTGGTATCAAGAGTCTCTGGACTGTTACTAGCTAAGGTTTAGGTTATTAAGAAAATTATTTAGAAGGTATTAATTAGAAGGTAATAAGGTATTTAGAAGGTATTAATAAAAAAATGGCAACTAAATCATAAAAGGAGTAAAATCTTCTTTGGATAAGTGAAATATTTGTTAAAATAGTGAGAAGAGAACATAAATACCTTCAGTTTGAGAAATAAGAGACAAATATGATTTACATATATATCATATGCTTCTTGAGTCACTGGGGCTCTGTCGTTGTTGTTACGTGTCATCGAATAGCCTGCAACTCATAGCGACCCTATGCACAACAGCCCTAAATCCCCATTACCCCAGGCACTGAACCAATCCACCTCATAGAGGGTTTTCCTCTCCTTTACTGTCCCTCCACCCTCCCAAACATGATGTACTTCTCTAAGGACTGATCCCTCCTTGCAACATGTCCAAAGTATGTCAGATGAAGCTTCAGAATCTTTGCCTCAAAGGTTCAGCATGGTTTTAACATCTTCAGGATGAACCTGTTTGTTTTTTTAGCATCCATGGTATTTTCAATACTCTTCTCCAACACCACAGCTCAAGGCATCAATTCTCTTTCTATCCTCCCTAGTCATTGTCCAACTCTCTGATGCATAACAAGTGATTGCAAAGACCATGGCCTGTATCAGACGCATTTTCAATTACGGAAATACAAAGAAAGAATAGTTGTAAGCAGACACCGGTGATTAGAACATGGAGTGTGAGAACTATGAATGTAGGAAAATTGGATATTGTTGAGAAAGAAATTGAACACATAAATATTGGCATACTAGGTATTGTGGAGATAAGATGGACCTGAATGGGGCATTTTGAGCCGGACAATCATATGATTTATTACTCTGGAGATGAAAAGGTGAGGAAAAATGGGGTTGCTTTTATAGTTAAAAAAGTCATTTCTAGATATGTCTTGAAATACAATATTGTAAGTGACAGGATAATATCCATACGCATACAAGGAAGTCCAGTCAAAGCACTATCACTCAGATATATGCACCAACAACCAGAGCCAAAGAAGAGGAAATTAGAAGATTTCTACCAGCTTTTACAGTCAGAGGCTGATCGATCATGCAATCAAGATGCATAATAATAATAATGGGTGACTGGAATGCAAAAGTTTCTTACTGGGACTCTACAGGACAGAAAATAGTGATCCAAAAGTTTCTCAGACTGTAAATCTTTAGATAAGCAGAATGCCACATCTTTCATCCATATAGTGGTTAGGAGGTTAGAACCTTTTAGTTAGCAGCTATTTTTAATCACTGTGCCACTGGGTTTCCTATATATCATACAGCTCCTTCTTATTAAAACTCTTTCCTAATAGACATTGGTCTATTAATAGACATTGGTCAATATAGTTCTATTATCTGTTAATACACATAACTTTCAGTTTATAAATTTTGTGATCTTCCGAAACCTGAAGGATGTCTAAAATATAATACTTGAGAATCATGGTCTTCTGCCTCACAGATCGGAGATGTTCCACAATACTGCATTGCAACAGATGCTAACTGCTCTAGTACTCCTACAGGTACACTTCCTTTTATTGCCCTCTGCATTACTGAATTTTGCAGCTACTCCATCTTTCAAAAATGGAAGAGCTGTGACAACCTTTTGTCATGTACACCTACTGGTACTATTTTTCTAACAGCACTTGCTCCTGTAGTGTCTCTCGGTCACATTTTGGCAATTATTGCAGCATCTCAAAAGTTTTTCATAATTACACACTTAATAGACTATAGTGTAAACGT